GATGAATTTTGATGCCTTTTTTAAAAACTTCATTTCTCAATTTTAGCTTCCTGAAAAAGAAGGATTTGAAAAGAAGTTAAAAGAAATTGAAAATCTATACTCATCGATAATGATGAAACCTGATCTAAGTGAAAATGATCTTGAAAATACATCATCAGGATTTTCCAACCATCGAACAAGTGAGTAATCGATGTTCAGATTCTTTCCAACTGTAGGCATTTTGTTTATATTGATGAGTAGGTCTAGACCATCTTGTTATTTGTTCATGAAAAAATTGGCTGAGTGTAAGAAATTTACACTTCATCCATAGTCATGTTGAAGTAGTATTGACCGTTTATTGATCCGACTGTTCCGTCAAGACTGAGGAACACCGTTGCTTTTCTTCATTTTTCTTTTTAACAAAAAGTGTTGCCGTTGAATACGAACGACACTAATTTGGACTTTTTAAGTCCAGCTCCCGTCATTTTTAAATAAAAAGCATAATGCTTTTTTATATTACAATCCGTTCGTAAGTTGTTTTCTTCTCCACTTCAGAAGAGTAAAAGAAACATAGACAGTATTGTCATAGGTGAACTTGTTTGCCTTTATTAAGTAGTTCATCTTGATTTATGTCTCTTTTGACTTATTTTCTGTTCAATTTCGTCTAAAGTCTGCTCGACGCATGTCTAATAATAATAACTAAAATGATTCTGAGACATAAAATTTTCAGAATTTAATATGATTTAAAAGTGTTTTTTTTCTGGACTCAAATATTTTCAATGAATCCTTTATTATTGAAATGGTATACGACTTGGATCAAAGGATATTTGAAATATATCTAAAGTCCAACAAACAATTCTGTAAATTTCCCTTTCATTTCAGAAGACAATACTATATCTCCTGCTACCTATGCATCAAGCAGTAGTGATGAACTATCCAAAGTCACTTCACGTTTTCTTGATATTCGAAATGAACATCAAGACATGCTCTTACCGTAATTTTTCATTCATCGTCGATTAGAATTACTACTCATTCTATTTTATCTTTAGAATCAAAGGTTATGAAGATATGCCGCTCTTATCCTTGAAAGATGCTGTTGAACACTTGGAGGATACAATTCCGAATATTAGACGGAATGCATAGATTGCAAAACAGAGATCAACTGTTGCTGCTGATGGACTTACTCAAGATGAATCAGCTGCTATTCAACTCTACACAATGGAATGGAAACCGAGTAATCAATCATTCTACATTCATATCAATAATGCTCTACGAGAAATAGATCGAGAAAAACTCGTTCCATATTTCTTTTATTTAAAGCTTGTTCTCACCGCTCTGTGGAAACTTCCATCAGTCAAAAGGACTGTATGGCGTGGTGTTAAAGGTGACTCGAGTGCTCACTATCCAATAGGCAAAGAGTTCGTCTGGTGGGGATTCCGCTCAATTCTCTTGATCTTCTATGTCAATTTTCATATTCACTCTGTTTTGAATAGTTCATGTACTGAACCATTTCAATTTCTTGAACAGAAGTTTCTTGGTACATTGTTCACTATCCAGTGTGAAACTGGCAAGTCTATTAGAGAGCATTCATATTACAAAACCAAAGATGAAATTCTTTTTTTTACCAGCTACGCGAATGCGAATACTCGATCGAATCCACAGTAGCAATGGCCGAGTTATCATTCAGTTGAAAGAAATTAAATCACCCTTTCATTTACGTAACTCGTCTTTTCTCCTTTCTGATTCTATTATGCTATTTTACATAGAATTTTCTATTCAAGAAGGTACATTTATTCTATAATAACACATTTCTCTTTAGAATCAAAATAACAAAGCAAAATCTACCACCAAAAATACAATCCAGTATAATGATCCTTAACATTATAATCAATAATTAGCTTTTCATGATCGATTATCTTTTGGACTTTTCTGCTTGTTTCATTGCTTATATCTCGTAAACATAACCAGAATAGATCAGACATGTTGCTTGATAATAAGAATTGTATGATTGATTTAATTTGACGTTCCAGAAGAACAATTTCAAGTCGTTGCAGACGAGGACAAAGATCAGCAAAAAATTGAATATAAGCTAATGAACAATCATCTTCAATACACAATTCAGTCACTTTGCTTGTCTTTGATATCGAACGGACGAGATCCATCTGTTCTACTGATAGACGACATCTACTCGTAAATGACACACCGATAAAGGTCAAAGATTGCATATTTGATGAAAATCGTAATAATTCAATTAGTTGACTAATAGAAAAATGTGGATCGAAAATAACTAAATGAGTCAGTTGTGTTAAAGGAATAATACAATTGATGTTCGTCATCGATCTTTCTTTGCTTTCATTATCATTTTCAATAAGAGTAAGTTCTGTTACATTGGGAAAATGAATCATAACATTGTTTGGTAAACAATCAATTCCAATCTTCAGATGAGAAGCTGAATGGACGATCGTCTCATATGTTTCACATCGATATAATTCATAACATTTTCTTCTGAAAAAAAAAACGATTGAAGATAATTTTTGAATTTTCATCTCTGATGATGAATTAAGTTACCTGTAAGGATTCGTTGAATAAAATATTCCAGCAAAATCATCATTCTTACATGACCAATGTTGATATTGAAAGAACCATTTTCGCTCGTACCAAAATGATGATTTAAAGCGATCAAATAATTGATTCGAAATCGTATAATCATTTGGACGGTCATATTTGTAAATCAAATACTTAAAATCAAAGATATATAAATAAGGCATATGATTTCGAATTAATCGTTCCCAACGATCAGCATACAGAAATGTGTTATTCAGATGTATTGTTAAATATAAGCGTTGCAATCGAGAAGAAATTCGAGCTAAAAATTTTTCAATTTCATCGAATGAAACATCGTGAAACTGTAAGCTAATATCGGTTAAATCAAATGGCATATGTAATTCTTGATTTGTTTCATAATTCGATCCGGATTGAAATCGACATGAGAAATATGTCAATTGAGGAGTATATGTTAGAATTGGTGTAAGTTGATTGAGAGAAAAACGACCATCGAGAATCAGATACTTCAATGTTTGACATTGAGAGTTTTGATCATGAGAACAAGGAAAACTTCGACGATTAAAATTTCCATATAATCTTAATTTACAATATTGAATTACAGGCAAACGAAAAATACATTGAAGCACGAGATTTTCATCTCGATTAAAGGTTGACGATGTGATGGAAAGTGTAAAGAGATGTGGTAGTCGTACGAGTGAATTGAGAAGTCGAATGAGAAGTTTGTTCGATGTTACAGCATTGAGAATGAGTCGTTCAAGTTGAATAAATGAATCGATCGAGAAGAGTTCGAAAAAACAATCGACAGCACAATAATTCGATAGAAAAAGTGAGACGAGTCGATCAATGTTCGGTTTTACAAGTTCGTCACATCGATGAGCGAAATCCTTCTTTGATATCCATGAGAGATTAATATGGAGACGAAAAATTGGACTAATGAATAGACGTTGAAAGCGAATGTTTAAGTGAAAGAATATTTCATAGATTTGCCAACTGTCAAGATAATTAAATACGTCATAGATCAATTCATTTGAAAGATCTTCGAATTGAGTAGGAAAAACTGTAAATAAACATCATTAGAAATATCTATTTATGCCTCGGACAAAATCATTAACAAACCTAATTCCTTGTTTTCCATGTTGCATTTTGCTGCACATTCGTTCGACATGCTTAAATTTCTTTCTATCCAAGAAGAGAATGTATTGCGAGAGAAAGAATAGCCTATAACACGTATCGTTCTGTTATCTATCAAAATGTACGAACGATAAATAAGTACTGAAGCACATGTATGTGTGTGTTGTATTTTTCTCTCGAAAGATAAACACATATGTTGGCACCGTTTAAGGGAAAATATAGGCACCATTATAGAGGCACAAGAATCGAAATATTATTGGTCACAAATTTTTCAAATAGAAAACATTTTATCGACTAAGGGGTCAAACACACTACAGAAGTGACTTAACTTAAGACAAATTTAAGCAACGTGATTGGTTAATTTATACTTAAGTCATCTCAAAAAGATGACTTAAGTCTGAATTAAGTAATGTGATTGGTTAATTCAGACTTAAGTTAAGACAGTTGTCTCTAGTGTGTTCGACCCCTAATGATTCATATAAATTCAGTCAAGGTATCACTGTTTGATAGAATTTCAAAAATTTAATATTATTTTCTATTAATTACGCTGCGGCTAAAAAAAAATTACATAATTGCAGGTACTGCCGTGATTTTTCTGCACCAAAAATGTTATCCATTTCTTTTCTTTTACTGTTTCCCATCTTAAAAAGCCATTATTATAATATAGCACAACTCTTATAACGAGTTCCTCAGGAGACAAGTACAGTGATCTCAATATTACAATACTTACCTGTTTTTTGTATGGTCTTCAATTGACCTTTTAAAAAACAATCCCATCCTGTGAGTTGTTTACAACGAATTTTCAATACTCAGATGTACATTCAAACCGCTAACCGAAGATCTACAAACTGTTAAAGACTCAGGTGTTTAAATTTATTATTCAAGGATAATATATATTCTAGTCGAACCTCTAATGCGATTTTCTAGCAATCTTTTTCTCATTTTTCTTTTTTTTCGTAAAAAAAAGGACTTTTCCCACCGTTAGGAAATTGCATAACAAAACTTCAGAAATCATATTACAAAAATCTGCAATACACGATTCGATCCGTCTTCATCTCCTCTCTCCAACGATGAAAACTGCAGTTCTCTATCTTGTTTCTATCAAAAGTTATTCAAAAAAATACTCACGAGCATTCATATAACTGTTACATATCATATCAAACAGCTATTTGTCGAAATTTTATAATTGTGATATTAGTTGAATAGTAATGAAATAGCACAAAAATAATAGAGCATCGTTTTCTCTATCATTGCATAAAAAAAAGAACGTTTTCTCAAGCCTTCTATACGAAATTGATATGCGGCCGTAAGTGCTTTTGGTATGCCCTAAGTAGAAACTTTTACCAGTATATGAAAAGCGAAAATAGCTCAAGCGATTTATCAGTTGGTTATAAATTTTCGATCTAAATGAGACATGAAAATAACTGAAGCGGGTTATCTCATGAGATAAGTCGAGCTATCTCATTGTTATAAAATTTAGCTATAAGTGAAAATCAAAAGTAGATGCAACGACTTATCTCATGAGATAATTCGAGTTATCTCATGGGTATAAAATTTAGTTATAAATTGAAAGACAAAAAATAGATGTAGCGAATTGTCTAATGAGATAAGTTGAGTCGACATGAGAGATATCCAGTTATGTGGTTAACATTTGCTGTCAAATAGTAGAATGTTTTATTCAGTTGAATGATAGTAACAGAATGTTGCAATATGATGCTTAAAGTAATATTTAATGAGATCATATGATTTAATAAAGAAAACAGGAAAATACAAATAATAAAGTTTGGAAATATAAAAAGTAAATAATAAAATAATAAAGAATCCACAAGAATAGAAAAATAATAAAGAATCCATAAGAATATGAAAATAATAAAGTATCAACAAAAATATATGTTTCATTTTGAGAGAAGATAAAATGCTCGTGAAATACTGTGACAACCTTGTGTTGTCTTGAATAACACACGTCAGTCGTTGTTTCAATAAAAATAAAACAATACTTCAGAAAAGCAAGAAAAATATGTAGGGAAAAACGTAAAGTTGTTGGCTGACATGTTGTCTGTCTACTTCCTAAGAGATTTCTCAATAAATCATGAGAATGACAGGGTGTGGAAGTGTTTTATTTAATATTAACTTTGCAGAACAAAGGTCGTCGAAATATTTCTCGCATCAAATCGTTTTTTGTAAGAATATCGACGAGTGTATCTAATAAATTTTAATATAGAAAGTCAGAATAGATCTGATTCTTCTATTCAATTATTGAAGAAGACGATCAAGATCATTTCTTCTCGAAAAGTTCTTATTGAATGCGTTTTTGCCAATTCTCTTTTACTTAACCAAAGATAGAAAACGATTTTCTTGCAGAATAAAATTGAAAGAACTTTTTTCAAAGCTTTTCGTCTATTATATATTCATCTAGAACAAATATCGTTGGTATTGAATCGATTTTTGAAATGTCGAAAAAGCTTTGCCTTCATTTTTTTTTCTAAACTTAAATTTGTTTCTTTCATTGATTCTTATAATGAATTCTTCTAACTGAGTAACTTGAATACAAATTTGACTGTTTTCATCCATTTTGATAAAAAATAAGAGTATCAGTATGTTTTTCCAACTTGTAATAGGTTCCAGCAACAGTTCAATAATAAATAATCACCAATGAAGGATCATATTCTAATCGACAAATATTAAATGATTCAAGAGCTTCTTCATAGTAAGTCAATGCTGTTTCATATTTATCTTGTCGAAAATAAACATGTTCAACAAAATGAATGTTTGATCAGTCTGAAAAATTTCTTCAATCATTCGAGTACTTTCAAAGTATATTCTAAGGCATCTGATCAACGTGACAAATCAGCATCGCAGCTCTGTAAATATCAAATTAACTGGTAACAATTGACGAACGATCATTTGACAGAGAAATCTCTTCCACTTCTGACATTTTCACGTTGTAAGGCAATGCTGAAAGGATATCACAGAGAATTTTGCTTCGTTTCAAAACCATTACAATAAGCTGTCTTGTGTAAATTGTAGAGCTTTTTACCCCGCATCTAATGATATATTTTGTTTTCTTTTTAAGTAGAAGTTATCAGGTGATAAAAAGATGAAATGAGAAAAAACGAATTCATCTTTTACCAAAAAATATCGTTTGCACACGGTCGAATTTTGTTCGCTTCAAATTTTGATAATTTTGAAAACAAAAAGTGCAACTACCCAGTCAGACAAAGTCGGTATAAAAAAACGCATTTTTACCGATTTTGTCTGACTGGGTATAAGATAAGCAGTCTTGTGTAAATTGTAAAGCTTTTCACGCTACATCTTATGGTATATTTTGCTTTTTAAAATAAACGTACCTGATGATGAAACAAAGAAATACAAAACCGGCCATTCATTATGGGATACCCGTTAAAATTCATTATAATAGAAAAGACTAACTATCATAGTTAGGAATATATTAGGTAGAGTGTCTCACATTGATATTCATTGTTGATAACTACTAATCTTCAATATATCATTAATCATTCATTTAACTGGGTTGACTGTCATAAGATTGTATCTCTTTATAGAAGATCAGTTAATGCAAAGGAATTATTACAACTATGTTAGTATAGGAATTATAGAAGAATACGATATGTTAATGAAGAATATAAAAGAAATAGAGTGATATTTTCCCGTAGACACTAATTAAAACATACTTTGGGGTGTGGGTGTGGGTGTGGGGTGGCTGGGGTGTGGGTGTGGGTGGTATGGGTGGGGGTGAGTGTGGATGTGCTTGTGGGAGGTTATGGACGTGGGTATGAGTAGTGGTTACAACATACACACCCACACGCACACCAATCCCCACACCCCCCACACCCACAGCCACTCACACCTTACACCCACCCATACCCACATCCACACCACACCGGCTCACATCCACATCCACACCCACACCCTTATAAACGCGTTTAAACGCGTCTCATCTGCGTTTAGTTTTCACATGGGTTAGCAAAACTTCCTCTTCCGCGTCACAAATTGGTACAGATGTTATTGACATAGGATCATAAACCGTATATC